TGTTTACATCCACAAAATATAGATGTTGTAACATTAAGAGTATAGGCTTGGTATTGTAAGAGGGACGATAGAGTGCGAAGGTCATATAACCCCATCTCAGCACATCAGCAGGTACACCAACGTTTCAAAGGAGGGACCATATAGTTAGATGTAAGAGTCTCAAAGTGGAAGATGTTATGTAGGTGTATTATTATTTTTAGTTATTTTATTTATAGAGGAGTTGCAAACACTAAGTTTTGAAGTTTTAAAATTGAAGCCTGAGACAGACAGTCTTTTGGCCTTCGCTTGGTTGTAATTAACAGCATGTTATAAAATTGAAAATTGCTAATTAGGAATGGAACGATATGTTATTTTGTTGAGGAGGAAAACTTAGATATCTAAGTGTTAATTCAATGTGGAATAAGGAATTGTAGTTGCACTTGAGTAGATGAGACTTGGTAGTATAGCCTAGAGCTGCTTCTTTTGTTAGTAGTTGGAGTAGTGGAAGATCTTCAGTGTTTCTGTAAATAGATGCACGAAAAGACCCAAAGTATCAGGGAAAACAGATCCATTTCTGGTCAGTTACATGGCTGTTACTTATACTAGGGTAAATGGATTTAAGGGTGTGGGTTGTTCAGGTATTTTTACATTTTCATTTTTAAAGAGTATACGGTTAGTGGATCTTGCTTCACATCAGAGCATTATATTGGTGGATTGCGTGTTTTCTGCAGTGCAGTGGGGTTTGAGTTTCTTCTTTGTGGATTGAACTACTACTCATCAGTCATATTAGGCCCATTAATGTTTAGCTCTAAGGAAACATGACAGTGTAAATGTTGATGTAAGCTAGTTTTAATTTTTCTATAAATGGAGTAACTGTTGGTCCTCTATTTTTCATTTAGATTGGTGGATTATGTGTTTCTGCTGGCTTCCTGTTGGGGTGCTATCTTTCAGTTCCTGGTCCAGAAGATTTCAAAATTAAATAATATCTCCTGGAAATTACTGAAAACTCAAGTTAGTTGTCTATTATATTGCAAAAAAAGGACTGGAGAAGTGAAAAGGTAGATTAATGAGCATGTTTTCCTTCTTGTTTTTCGAGGAGCTTTCTGAGTGGGACATGATGAAAGGCGTTGAATAGTGTGAGTTTGGAAAGGAATTTGTTGTAATTATGGTTCACTGGGTGGTGTGTAAAGGTCATTGCATTTAGGTTGGTATTCATTTGAAAGACGTGCTGGCCAGGTGGGGTATAATCCCATCCGGAATTATTGTTGCCCAGACATCATCCGTGGGTGGGATACAATGAAGTATAAACACAGGTAGAACCTCTATTCCTTTGGGATCCAGGTTATTATATAATCACACACACTCACAACCACACACGAGATCATAGGCTTTTAATAACTGCTGGTGTTCGACATTAAGAAGGGGGATAGTTTAGTCACTGGTAATGGGTCTTACATTCATAAAACAGGTGATTGGATTTGGATTTAGACTCTGTTGTTATCTTGAGTTTGATAAGAGCTAACAAATAGCTATTATTATTATCTACTTAAGATGTGGTGTGTGTTGTCCACTTTAGGAGGGGCTGCAGAAGGCACAGTCTAAAGAGGGTCTACCTTGCTAATTGTTTCTCACGTGGTGTATACGTAGTGTTAGTTATTTAGAGTTTTTACTTGAAGTTAAATGAGTACTAATGTTGGCTTACATCTGTGGAAATACTCCACTACAAGTTAAAGTTCTGCATTTAAAACCTCACTTAGGTAAAAACATGTATTATCAGCTAAATGTGCTTAAAGTATGAGAAGTACAAGTGGAATAAAATGGTTCCTGTCAGTGTTTTACTGTTATATATACGTTTTTGGATTAATTAACTATTTTATACACTGTTGGGTAGTTTAATCTACAATAATTCATTGTTTTCTATAAGATGATCATATTTGTAGTGTCACTGTCTTGTGAGAACCACATAATGTATATAGTCAGCAAAACAGCTGGTTTTCAGCTTTAGGACGATGCGTTTTCCAGCTAAACCAAGAGGGGTTTTAAAATAGTTTATTTAGCTGAAGTAAAACCATTTTCTCAACCCATAAAGGAACTCAAATAAAATAAACTCAACACATTTGGAGATACATGAGTTTTATTGGACTGGAAGGGTGTAAAAAAAGTAAAGCTGTCAGACAAATGTAGAGCAGTAAATGTAGAAAGTTGCATAAAATTCTCAAGTAAAAATACCTTGAACTGACTAAACATACTCTACAGACCAGATTCAGTTTAAACTTTATTATGTTTTCCACTTTGCATCCTGTAACTATCAGTCTCTAAAAATAAAAAAAGGACAAAAACCTCACACGTGCAGATTTTGTTCAATTATAAAGAAGTTTATTTCTACACATCATTCAATTCTTTTGTAAGACAACAATCAGGCACTTTTGGAGCGTTAAGGCAGAAACTTGTGTTGCATTCACAGCTGCTGTTTTTTGTAGTCACAGTAACTTCACATGGCTTGCAGTTGTAATGATCTTAGCTAATCTGAAGTGTCAGCATGAGACAGCAGTCGTAGTAAAAATGGTCCGAAAAAAAAAATTAAAAAGACAGAAAACTTCAGCATTTTTAGCTTTTTGGTATGTAAACTTTAGGGACTGAGTACGCCTTCCTCCTGGCTTCCTCGGAGAGAAGCTCAGTGGGTTTTGTTGGCTTTGTCGAAGAGAGCCTTCAGCTGCTCCTGGGAGGTCGCCTCCTTCTGCTGCATCAGGTCAGCGTGGCCTTTGGTGACACCCCAGCCGTCGGGCATCGCCATCGAGGGGCAGTAGGGACGGCCAGACGCCGGCTTCAGTTTCTCCCAGTAGTCACGACGGGCCCTACAGAGAGGCATATGTTAGAGATCTCTCTTTTTGCCCATTTTTCCCCCCCTCCTCCTCCAGTTTGGTTAAAATCCTACCTGGCTCTGACCCAAGGCTTCGTGTGCATCTCCAGGCCGCTGCCCCAGTTGCCATGCTTCTCCGAGCCAGCAGGCAGGAAACCCCTCTCGGGCGCCAGCTCCTCAGCCAGGGCGCGGACGTGATAGGGCTCAAACCCGCAGCAGCCTCCGATGTAACGAATGCCGGCGTTGTACGCTTCCCGGGCGTACTTCTGCATGTCCCATCTGGTCAGGATCCTGGGCTCCAGACCTGTCAGAGAACACAGGCGTAAGAAATTAGTGTTTCATTGTCTTGTAAAACAGTCGGAGTGAGGAATTGAACGATACGTACTGAAGGGGAACTCGGGCAGGTCGATGAAGCCCTGGCAATTGCAGTCAGGAGTGTGGTAAGCCAGCGGCTGGCTCATGTAGTGAGCCTTCAGCCCGGCCTTCTCCACTCCCTCCTTCATCAGCTTCACAGTCTTCACGCAGGTCTCTGGGTCAAAGTGGCAGTTAATGCCGACAATCTGAGCGCCTACGAAACAGGAAACATCAGGGCTCAAATAGGCTACAAAGTGAGTCTTTAAAATGCAGATACAACATATTTTAAATAATCTTGATGGCATAGGTTTGTGAGGGGAAATGACGGTATCAGTCGAGGTGAAAACTGGTGCAGTTTGTGTCACTTTCAGGTCATTAATGCTTTGTTTTCCTTCCACTGGAGGGCGCCAAAGTCAAATGTTTAACTCCTACACATACAGACTTCAAAAAACAGAACCATCACCAGTGGGGATCTCAGTTTGGACTTTGAGACCACAAATTAGGGATGCAAGACTCACATAACAGTTCAAGAGAATATTACCCCGATTGAAAAAGTAGATCGGAGAGTTTGTGATGAACTCAGGAGTTTGACATTTTGCATTGGTACAATCTGATGCATTTATGTACAAAATATTGTTCTCATGTCTTTAGTATTTAGAAATTAGAGTAATTGGTGACCCATAACTTTAAATTCAGACTGATTCCTCCTCTCTAAACTGGTATGGTCTGAATCATACTGAATCTTAAAGCATCATATTTCTCTGCATTGCAAAGAGGGGTGACACATTGGTAGTTGCTCCAAATGTATCTTTAATGTATTGATTGTGTGATCTGATGTATAGCCGTGATGTAGATGCACATCTCGGATACAAACTCATTACAGAAAGTCTCAGTTACAAACTGAGTGTATGGAGTTTGAAGGTTTTGGGTTTATAAAGCAGTGAATTACATGAAAAGATCCTACTGAAGTGCATCATGGAAAATGATGGATGCTTTATAAACATTAGGGAATAAAAGTGAGGATTTTTTGAGTTTCACAACTTTATAGGGATGGTATATTAAATTGCCAGAGCATCCCTTTAATGGCAACCAATTTCCCTACATTATTATAAGTGTATGAAAACTGAATTGATGAATAATCTCACTTCCTATAGTGACATACGCTTAGTTGCTACATTATTAGATACAGCTGCAATAGTTTAAACACAATTCAAAAGGGAACTACATCCTCCAGATTATTCATATCCAACATGTAATAAACAGTATAATTGATTAAGACCTTTGTGAAGGGAGGATTTATTGCAGGACTTCTGTTTTAGCTTGGTGTTCCTAATAAACTGGCAAAGTAATTTTAATAGATGTGTTCTTGCAGTCCTGCCTCATGTTGGAAAGGCTGCTCAGACCTCGACCTCCTCAGGCTCAGAGGTCTGAACAGTGTTTGAATTCGTGGTCACAAGATCGTGGGAAACCTGAGAGAGACGTTTGATTGGTGACATCTGCCAATGACTCTGGATCTAACCTCTGGCTCCCCGAGCATCATTTTAAGTGTCTGCTACGTCTTTCTCCACACCTCCTATGATGTGATAGTTAGGAGAGAGGCTGTGCACCCACTGCGGGACAGGATGTTAAAGAGCAGATATGAGACATACCAGCTTTGACGAGTCTGACGGCACAGTCTCCAGGGCTGACTCCGTTCAGATCTCCCTCAGGTCCAATACACAGAGTTGCAGCCACAGGCTTCCCGGTGGTCTTCAGGACCTGGACTGCCCACTCGGCCTCTTCCACATGCTCAAAGTACTGCAAGAAAGCAAAAAGCCCCACACATTAACATCAGGAATATTAAATTATGAATCTTTTAAGCTGCAATGGGTCTATATTGTTCACATTAATTGAGAACTGCAGTCCAATTTCCTTATATTGCAGACTTAAAACTGCTATGGTCATCTTTAAAAGAAGTCCAACCCAATTTATCAGTAACATGCTAAGCAAGAAGTTCTGCGCAAATTCCTTTACCTGGCTTTTGGCTTCAATACTCTTACACAACTCAGGCATAATGTCTTCCAGCAAACCAGGGAACGCGGGATATTTTCAAAGATACAGACAACAGCTCTAACCAAAACAACTGTGCATTTGGCTCAGCACCAAACACTAACCTCAGAGTTACTGGAGAGCAACTGTTTGCCACCATATCAACTTAAAGAAGGTGATTATACGTCAGTGTTGTGTTAACAGCTTGATTTTGTTGCCAAGTGGCCAAAAAAAAAAAAAAAA